AAAGATTTCTGTTTCCATAGAGTTTACATGAGTAAAAAAAAAAAGGTGAATAAACACAACATAGAGATATTTTAGACCCTGACAAGTGTTATGAAGATTATTCTAGTTTAAGTCAAGGAAAACATCTGTAAAGGGATGATATCTGAGCCACGACATGAAGACCAAGGAAAATTCATCGCTGAAACCATTTAGAGAATATCACCACAGGTAAGGAGATTTGGAATCACAAAGGTCCTGGTAAAATTAACAGAAAAATAGTCCATGTGCATAGTTGGTATTCAGGGATTATCAAGAAAGGCATCATAGGGCAAATAGTATCTAAAAAACATCTTTGAGGAATTCACCTAAGGAAGAAAGTAAATGCCAAGTCCTTGTTAGAACGGGAGTAAATCCATGTGGGTACCTGAAAAAATCTGAGGCAGGAAGCAGACAACACAGCTGAATATCATTATGTATATGGGAAATAGTGAACTGGGGCTATATACATTGAAGAACTACAAATTCTGTGAATAAGCCAGTGAATGATTTGAGGAAGGAACTGCTAGGAACAGACCTTCAGTTTTGAAATGTTAGTCTGGCAGCAGCAGTGGCAAATGATCTGGTGTGTTGAAGGCAAGATGGAAAAGAAGTGTAACAGAAGGATGTTGAATTAACCTGTGGGATGATGATGAGTGTAGTTTTCTGGAGCACTGGCAATAGAAATGAAAGGGAGAGAAAATACTAGCTAAGCCTTTAAAGGAAGAATTAATTATCCTGGGTATAAGAGTGGAGTTTGATTTTAGAAGACAGCATAGAGGAGGCTACTTGTTCAGAACAAAACAAAACGAACAACCCACACAATGAAGGGTGGTAAGGTTGAGATATTCTATCAAGTAATCTAAGAGTAGAAAAGAAGATGCTGCTTTTTTCAGTTAGGAGGTTACTGATAATCTTTAATGCAGAAAATGTAATTGTATGCTACAGGAGGGCTGGGATGATATGGAGAGGGGAATTGGGAAGGATATTATTGATTGGTAATTGTTCCTCTTAGCCAGTGATTATATCACACAAAATATGCAGAACTGTAGGAGGGAAAGCATAGAAATAAAACGTGATTTACTCATCATAAACCAGAGAGTAGATGAAATGGCTGCTTTCATGATATCAGTGTAGCTCTTTGTGGCTGGACATATCACATGATTATAAAATATGAAAATATCTTAAAAGTTATTTAATCTAGGGGTGCCTGGGTGGCTCAGTTGATTAAATGTATGACATCGGCTTAGGTCATGATCTGATGGTTCATGGGTTCGAGCCCCATGTCAGGCTCTGTGCGGACAGCTCAGAGCCTGGAGTCTGCTTTGGATTCTCTCTCTCTCTCCCCCCCACCCCACCCCTCCTCTGCTCATTCTGTCTCTCTCAAAAATAAATAAAACATTGGGGCACCTGGGTGGCTCAGTCGGTTAAGCGTCCGACTTCAGCCCAGGTCATGATCTCACAGTTTGTGAGTTTGAGCCCAGCGTTGGGCTCGGTGCTGACTGCCAGCTCAGAGCCTGGAGCCTGTTTCAGATTCTGTATCTCCCTCTCTCTGTGACCTGCCCCTGCTCATGCTGTCTCTCTCTCTCTCTCTCTCTCTCTCTCTCAGAAATAAATAAAACATTTAAAATAAATAAGTAAAACATTAATAAAAAGTCATATAAAATCTGTATCTGTGACATTAAATGTGCATTTTAATGCTTAATATAATTAAAGGCACTTCCCTAGGGATAAATTTAAAGGTTTATGACATTCTGTGGGCATTCACTTTCTAAAATCTGTTGCATGCTGATAATAGTGATATTAAATTTAACAATATTAATAAACATAAAGGGTGCCTGGGTGGCTCAGTCAGCTAAGCATCCAACTTAAGCTCAGTTTAAGAATCATCTCATGGTTCAGTTCGTGAGTTCCAGCCCAAATCCCCCCCAAATAGGGCTCTCCACTGTCAGGACAGAGCCCACTCCGCTTAGGATCCTCTGTCTCCCTCTCTCTTTGCGCCCCCTCCCCCCCCCCGACTCATAAGCAAGTGTATGTGCCTGTGCCCTATCTCTCTCAAAAATAATAAACATTTAAAAATAAGCTTGCATTTTAATATTTAGTTCAACTTATTAATTTAGTTTATGTCTTTTCTCATTAAAAATAAAGAATGGAAAATGAATGGAAATAAGATAAATTATATATCCTTCAAATGAAATAAAACCAATATTATTTCATAATATTTTCTTTTGATCTTTTCTCTCTATATAATTTTTAAAATAATTATCTTTGTTATATACATCCCATCATCATAATATAACTGATAATAAACCCAGTAGTGATTATGTGTGTATATCTTACAAATTTACAAACCTACAAACCATCAGGCTCTGCATTGCCATCTGGCTGGCAGGTTGATCACAAAACAAAATTTAAATTAATTTTAATGTTTATTTTTGAAAGAGAGAGAAACAGAGAGACAGAGTGTGAGTGGGGAAGGGAAAGAGAGAGGGAGATACAGAAGCCTGCCTGAAGCAGGCTCCAGGCTCTGAGCTGTCAGCACAGAGACTGATGCAGGGTTCCAACCCAGGAGCTGTTTAACCAACTGAGCCACCCATATGCCCCAAACAACAAAAATTTAATTTCGAGTCATTTGTCTTTACCAATCCTGGCATCAAGAGTCTTAGGTCTGCTTTCCCAAGATAGAAGCTTTGAGATAGAGATTTGTGGGCAGTAAGTTTATTGGGAACCAACAACACATGTAAAAGAGAGATAAAAGCATGGTTAGGGAAAAACAGAAATTCAGTTTTGGTGGAATTTCATCAAAGTTTTCAGGTGATTTTACGAGATGTTACACCAAGGCCTTTCTTCATTTTTCTTCCAACTGAGGCGAGGAAGCTGAATCTTTGTCTTACTATAATACCTTTTGTTAGATGCAGGATGCCCAGGGGGGAAGGACAGACTTGGCCAAAGCAATTCCTTTTGACCAAGGGCAATTCCTACAGCAGTTTCAAACAGTTGGCAACCAGCAGGCAACACTGCTGGCAGAAAGAGTGCCTGAGTCCCAAAGAGGAAGAATCCAGGAATCCATTATGCCATCTACTACCTTTTCTCTCCCTTTCAGAACCTAGTTACCATGATGATAGAAATCTTAGTCTGCTTTGACGGGTCAGTAATGCATCTTAAACACTTAGAAAAATTGCATATCACTTTAGTAGACATTGAGTAGTTGTTAAATGGGCAAGTTTTTCCTTTAGATCTAAAGCAGACAAAGATGTGTATCTGTAGGCTTCCTTTGCTGGCATGAGAAATTTATCTAGATCACCTTGTCATTGATAATTCAAACTCAGGATCCCAGTTTCATGCCAGGATCTCCATTTTAACTCTCCACCTAACTGAACCCTCTTCTCCCATTCTTTGCCTGTCCATTGGTATCCAATGTTTAAAATCCCTGATGTGAGCATTGGTATATATCCTTTGATTCTAAAATTATTGCTCTGGGGCATATGGGTGGCTCAATCAGTTGAGAGTGTGACTCTAGATTTTGGCTCCCATCATGATCTCATGGTTTGAGCATTTGAGCCCTATATCAAGCTCTGTGCTGATAGACCAGCATTCTTGAGATTCTCTCTCTCTCTCTCTCCCTCTCTTTCTCTCTCTCTATCCCTCTACTACTCACTCTTTCAAAATAAATAAACTTTTAAATAAATAAAATAAAATATTACTGTTATAAATTATTTTGTATTCCATTTTTCATTTACATTTGTTTAATTCATTAATATTTTAAAATGTTGAGTGTTTTTGACGGTTTTTGCAAGCTTTGTATTTAAAATGATTGTGTTGTAACATTTCATTTGTGATGTGAGGAATTTTCAGAATATATAATCTATCTATGACTTCTAGCTATTTGTAATCAAGCCTGTGCGGCATCTAGCAACTCTGTGTGACTCTTATTTAATTGGCTGGAATATGAAATCTTCACTGTTCTGTGAAGATTGTATTAAGTCATTCTTTTCCAAATTTATTGAAGTCATTTTTAAAATTTTTATCTAAGTAGTGATGTGCATATTACCTGTTTTACTGTTTCCTAATGGCCCATTTATTTATTATTTCCAGTAGCACAAAGTGAGTAGATTGAATTCTTGTTTTCATGAAAAGATTGACCTTTACTTCCTGATGAGAACAAGTTTGAGTAAAAAGCTATCAGGTTTTAAAAGTGATCCAATCAAATTCTGTAAACTAGTTTTCAGAATGCTACTGGGAACAAAAACAAACACCATATTTATGTCTCACTATCCTTGTTGCCACTAACACACACTACCCCCACCCTACCACACACACACACACACACACACACACACACACACGTCTTTCTCTAATTCCTGCCTACCCTTCCAACCGCAACATAGTGGTTCCTCCTTCATGACTCAGGCCAAATATCTTCACTGTATAGTATCTCTGTAGACCAATAAAGTTTGTATTTCATTCTACGATGATGGTATTCACATTATAATTTTTATTTGATCTATCTCCATTCCTAGAACAAGAGCTTCTAAAAAGAAACAAATAGGTCGGGGGCACCTGGGTGGCTTAGTCAGTTGAGCATCCCACTTTGGCCCAGGTCATGATCTTGCGTTGGTGGGGTCGGGCCCTACTTCGAGCTCTGTGCTGACAGCTCAGAGCCTGGAGCCTGCTTTGGATTCTGTGTCTCCCTCTCTCTCTGCCTCTATCGCACCCACACTCTGTCTCTGTCTCAAAAATAAATTAACATTAAAAAAATTAAGAAGGAAATAGGTCGAAATAATGTTTACAAAGAAAATACCTAGCATAGTTGCTTTACATAGTAGATATTTAGGCTGAATACTGAGAGACCAGTGAGTCTCATTGGTCCCAAAATGAAGGACCAATCCCTCATTTTTCCAAAAGCTTTCAATGGACATATAAAGATACTTTATAAATATCTCACAATTTGACCTTTTTTTCTTTTTTTTTCTTTTTGCTTGCAGATGGATGTCACCACTATGTGTAATGACAGATGCAGAGATTGGAGTGATAAGTTACAAACTAAGAAATGCCAGGAATCTATGACTACCGCAGAAAGCCAGGAAGATGCAAGGAGTGAGAGTTTTATAATGAGCACAGATCTGCTGACACCTTAAATTTAAATTTAAGAACTATGAGAATAAATGTCTACTGTTTTATGTGAACAGCTAGTTACAGTAGCCCTAGAGGCATATATGTAGTCTATACATCCAAACAAAACCAGATAAATGTATCATACAAATATTTGTATTTTGGAAAGTATATGTATCATGATGTGCTTGTTTAAAGAAAGATTTCTTGGGGCACCTGGGTCGCTCAGTCGGGTTAAGTGTTTGACTTCAGCTCAGGTCACGATCTCAGTTTGTGTGTTTGAGCCCCATATCGGGCTCTGTACTGACAGCTCAGAAGCCTTCAAATCCTAGGTCTCCCTCTCTCTCTCTCTCTACCCCTCCCCGACTTGTGCTCTGTCTTTTACTCTCAAAAATAAATAAACATTAAAAAAATAAATTAAAAAAATTAAAAAGAAAGGTAGAAAGAAAGATTTCTTAACTAAACAAGCCTGGGAAACAGTGCACATTGTATCTCTCTCCAGTAGATTATGATGGTTAATTGTGTGTGCTAATTTGACTGGACCATGGTGTGCAGATACTTGGTCAAACATTATTCTGGAAGTTTGCACAAGGGTGTTTTTGGATTAGATTAACTGGGTAAGATTTAGTTGATAATGTAAAGCAGATTGCCCTTATAATGTGAGTGGGCCTCATCCAATAAGTTAAAAGCCTGAAAAGAATAGAAAGAATGACCCTTCCCCAAGATTCTTCACTTGACTGCCTTTAGATTTCATCTGCACTGTTGGCTGTCTGAAGTCTCAAGCCTACCAGACCACACTTCAGATTTGAATTTGCCAGTCTCCGTAAACATGTGAGCCAATCCCTTATAATAAATAAGTTTCTCTCTCTCTATGTATAATATGTATATATATATACATATGTGTATATATGTGTGTGTCTGTATAATATACACTATGTATATGTATATATATATATTTATTAATGTATGTATACAGAAAAGCCACACAATTTTATGTGGTTCTGTCTCTCTGCCGAACCCTAATAGAGATTTAAGGTTATTTTTATATATTGACTCTGAACAGTTCTGTGGTCAATTTACTTACATGACTTTGTTTAACCCTCCATTTTTGAAATTTTATTACCAAAATATTTATTCACTGAATTCCTGTCACATCACATAAATGTAATGTGCTATGATTTTCACGTAGCAAATATATATATATATTTTTTCAAAACATGTTAGAGTATAGCTACAAGAACCTTTTAAAGCAGTGTTGTATAAGCGGTAGCTCCTAGTATCATTTGTGATGTCTATACCTGCTCAGTCACTCAAAAGCCACAACTGCTTGAAAGTCATATCATGGCTTTTCAAGTGACAGGACTTCTGAGGGTCCTGAGTGATCCATGCTACATTGATCTATCCTTTCTGACCAAACATACAAACCGAAAGTATAATTTTAACTGGTTATTTGAAGACATTGGGAATTATGACCTCCAAAGAACAATCAGAGCAAGCCAACAGGCCTCATTTAATGAAGGTGGTAGCTAGACACAGGTATTCTGGTCATTATAACATAGTCAACACTTAGATATCTTTGATCAAAATAAGTAATTATATACAAAGTTATTGTATAAAATCAAATGACATGAAAAACACCATGTCACTACTTACACAAATGGCCACGCTAAGTACTAGTGTGCACAAAATGATTGGATTTTTGTGTTTCCATAAAAACATATTCAGCTGATGGAAATGAAGGTTTTATAGATGTAATTCGATAGGTTCTATATGCTGTCTTTTGAAGCATGAAACCAATTCATAACTATTCTCTTGTTAATGGGTTTTATTTTAATTGATTCACTGCTTTTGTCAGATTATTTCTATATTTAATCAAAATTGACTTGTGCTACATTCTTATGAATGGACTTAATAATGTACTATAAAAACATGCTTGCACAGTATTATAGAATTAAATATTGTACTTCTTTGAGAAAATTTTTCTCTATTTTTTACAAGGAGAGGATGTATTTTTATTGAAGTATAATTGACATACAATATTCTAATAGTTTCAGGGGTACATTCCATTGATTTGATGTTTTCATAAATTATGAAATGTTCCTCATGCTAAATATAGATACCATATGTATCCATACAAAGTTATGACAACATTATTTACTGTATCTGCTATTCTGTATGTCACATTCTTATGAATTATTTATTTTAGAGTGGTCAATTTGTGCCTTTTAATTCTCTCCAACTATTTTACCTGGCCCTCCAACATCTCCCTACTCTGGCAACTAACAATCTATTTCTTTTATATGTGAGTCTGTTTCTGTTTTATTTTCTTTATTCATTTGTTTTGTTGCCATTTGGTTTTTGTCTTTCTCTAGCTGACTTATTTCACTTAGTTTAATACCATCTGGGTCCATCTATGTTGTCACAAATAGCAAGATTTCATTCTCTCTTTTTTGTGGCTAAGTAGTATCCTATAGTATATATACACCTCAGAGATGATACTGTTTTAATATAACTTGCTTTGACTATTCAATATAAGTGCATTCCTTTTTTTTTTTTTTTTTTTTGGAAAGATTTCTGGTTTGATTTATTTTTCTTTGGGATATATTTCTTTCTACAATCACATTCCCCCTTTTGATTCAAGAGCTTAAGGGGAAGTATAGGTATTCTGACCTAGCAACAGCAAGTATGAAGTATTTTGGCATTACAAATTCAGTCAAGACCTCAACAAATTATCTCAATGGTTTTAATCTTCCAAAAGGCTAAGTGTATGAACCATGAGAAGGCAGTAAGCTTATGGACTTAGCAGAATGATAAGGATTAAAGAACACATCAGAGGAAAGTGGGAAGCCATCTAGCTGAGACAAGCCTATAAGGGAAATTAGAAGAAACTTGAAGGTATGAATAAGTTATATCATTAAAGTTTGGTTCTGTGTACTTTTCTCTCTGATTCTGACATTAAGGCTTGAATTGGACAATTAGTTTTAATTTTGTTGATTATCACCAGCATACTTCTAAAATGTCCAAATGGATAGACTTATTTTCTAAATTAGCTATTTGCAGTGATTGAAAATTGGTTAATTTAGTATTGGGGACTTTTTTTGTGATCTTTATTGTTGCATATATTAAGTTAATAATTTTGTATATCTGTAATTTCGAATGTCCAAGTCACTGCATATGGAAGAATTAAATAACTAGACTCTTAAATACCAGAAGGGAAATATTTCAGAAACTTATAAATTGTCACTACTGCTATTACTTTAAGGTAATATTCAATATGTGAGCAGACTAATTTTAATGTACTATGACAAAAGACTTGTGTTTACTAAGAAGTTATGAAAAAACTATATATATATATATATTTTTTTTTTACAAAATGTGCAAGTATATTTTTTTTAATGTTTTTTATTTATTTCTAGGAGAGAGAGAGAGAGACAGCGTGAGCAGGGGAGGGTCAGAGAGAGAGGGGGGTCACAGACTGAAACAGCCTCCAGGCTCTGAGCTGGCAGTCAGCACAGAGCCCTACGCGGGGCTCGAACCCACAAACCGCGAGATCATGACCTAAGCGAAAATCGGACGCTTAACCGACTAAGCCACCCAGGCGCCCCAATATATTTAGGTAATAATCCAAAACTTTTAGTGACTTATTATCTTCAAAAAGTATTTTCAAAGTTTATTATTGTTAGTGAGAATACAGCAGGAAGTTTTTTTTTTCTTTGACCCTGAGTATCTATAAGAAAAGGTCTAGCCAGAAGAAAACTCCTTTTTGATAGTAATGGTTAAGTAACAATATCTGTGTATGTTGTACTTCCTACAAAAGGAGACAATAAGGCTTAAGTAACTAAAGATATAGGTTTGTGGGAATTTTCATTTGAAACAAGTCACTTTTTTTTAATGTTTATTTATTTTGAGAAAGAGCAAAAGCAGGGGAAAGGCAGAGTGAGACAGAGACACAGAATCCAAAAAAGGGTCCAGGCTCTGAGTTGTCCTCACAGAGCCCAACGTGGGGTTCCAACCCACGAGCTCTGATGAGGATTGACTGTATTAATATCTGGTTAATTATGCTCCCAGCAAAGATAATTACTAGAGACAAAGAGGTGAATTAAATGTTTTTTCCAAAGGATCAATCAAGAAGACAGCCACAATGATCTTAAGTGTATACATACCAAACAATCATCTCAGAATACGTGACACAAAAACTGGTACCGCTGAAAGGAAAAATAGAACATCCATAATTTTAGATGGAGAACTTAATGCCTGCCTTTCAGCAAATGATAGAACTTTTAGTCAGAAATTAGCAAGGATATAGGCAAGTGGAACAACACAGTCAATTCCAACTCCAACTCAGACTCCGACTAACCACAGCAAAATAATCATTTATGCAAAATGACATTTTCACCAAAATAGTCCATATTTTGCATTATAAAACACAATTTAACAAATTTAAAATAATTAAAAGTATGTTTCCTGACTATAGAAGAATCAAATTAAAATAGAAAGAAAACAGGAAAATCTGTAATCACGTGGAATAATTTAAAAAAATAACTAGAAAATGGGCAAATGACATGAGTAGACATTTCACTACTGATGATATACAGATGGCATATAAGTATCTGAAAAAATATTCAGCATCATTAGACATTAAGAAAATAAAAAAATAAAACCACAATGAGATATTACTATGTACCTATCAGAATGACTAAAGTAAAAAAGAATGGAAACACCAAATGGTGGGAAGACTGTAGAGAAACTATATCACTGTTACCTTGCTGTTGAGAATGTAAAATGCAGAGCCACTCTAGAAAATACTTTGTCAGTTTCCCATAAAACTAAAGCTGTAATTACAATACAACTTAGCAATAGCACTAATGGTCATTTATTCCAAAGAGACAAAAATTCATGTTGATACAAATACTTGTGCAAGAGTGTTCATAACAGCCAATCTTATTCTCAATTGCCAAAAAAAAAAAAAATAGAATAGTTCATATCGCTTTTAACAGTTAAATAGTAAGATAACTATAGTACATACGCATCATGGAATGCTACTTAGCAGTAACCAAGAGTGAACCATTAATATATACAACTTGGATGAATCTTATGCTGAGTGAAACCCAATCTCAAAAAGTTATATGATTTTATTTATGTAACATTTTTTAACATTTATTGAGGGAGGAGAGAGAGAGAACAGGAGACAGAGACAGAGTGTGAGTGGGGGAGAGGCATAAGGAGAGGGGGGCA